CTTTGTTTTCTTTTTTTTTCTTTTTTCATTTTTGTGTGAGTGTACCGTCAAATCAGATCTGACTGGTACAGGAGGAGATTGTCCCTCCTTTTCCCAGCAGAGCATCTGGTGGATTCGAACCCTGTGCCTCTGGGATTGTAGTTGCAGCTCCTTGCCACTAGGCCACCAGAGCTCCCCCTGTTTTCTTGATATTGAGCCTCAATCCATATTGAAGGTTTCAGTCCTTGACCTTCTGCAGCAAGCCCTTCAGGCCCTCCTCAGTTTCAGGAAGCAGGGTTGTGTCATCTGCATAACGCAAACTGTTGATATATCTTCCTCCAGTCCTGATGCCACACTTCTCATAGAGCTGAGCCTCCCAAGATAACCTGTTCTCCATATGGATTGAAAAGGTGTGGAGATAGGACACATCCCTGGCGTACACTCTTCCCAATTTTGAACCATGCAGTGTTTCCTTGCTCTGTTCCGACGATTGCCTCCTAGTCTAAGTTTCGCATTAGCACAATCAAGTGTTCTAGGATCCCCATTCTTCTCAGAGTTAGCCACAGCTTATTGTGATCCACACAGTCAAATAAATGCTTTTGCATAATTAATGAAACACAGATAAACATTCCTCTGATACTCCCTGCTCTCAGCCAAGATCCACCTGGCATTAGTTATAATATTCCTAGTACCACGACTCCTTTTAAACTCTGCCTGCACTTCTGGCAGTTCTCTATTGATGTGCTGTTCCAGTCGTTTTGGATTGTTTTGTTCCAGTCGTTTAAGCAGAATTGCTTGCATGTGATATTAATGATAGTCTTCAATAATTTCGACATTCTGTCGGATCACCTTTCTTTGGAATGGAAGGGAAGCAAATACAGATCTCTTCCAATCAGTTTGCCAAGTGGCTGTCCTCCAGATTTCTTGGCACAGCTTGGTGAGCACATCTAGGGCAGCATCTGTTTGTTGAACTGTGTCAACTGGTATATCATCACTATAAACAGACTGCAGAGAATAAATTAGAGCAGTAATAGAGGCCTAACGTTTTCTTCTCCTTTATCAGTCATTGGAGAGCAAACTGCAAACTCAACTGCACTTTCCCAAGGTCACCCTACTGATTATTAGGAGACTTACTTCTAAGAAATTCTTAGGGATTTTGGCCAGATCTTCAACATATTCCTTGCAGATGTAACACAGGAAGTGCTGAAATTCCAACACGAAAAAAAGAAAGGAACATTAGTAACATAGCATTCTCAGGGTTCAGCAGGAACTCATTACTTCTCAGTGAACGTGCTAGTAAACTTGACACCTAAACCCGGTACAAAAAGGTGCGATTCACAAGGTGTATGAAAATCCATACTGACATCTAGCTCCCTCCGTCCCGCGGGTCGACTTTCCCGTCGCCCCACCCCCACCCCCTTCTTGTTAAAGGAAGCAAGCCGAACCCTGCCATTCCGGATAGGAATTATCGAGTGGACAAAAATAGGAAGGGCCAGGTCTGGCTAGTCCTTACTGTCGGTTCTGGACCTTCTCAGATTTTTTGAGGCCCTGAGCCAAGGCTGTGAGCACTCGCCACTCCACCAGCCCACGTCGCTCACCCTCACGAAGATCACCACGGCCCTGCGCTCCTGAAACAGCGCGCCGAAGGACATTGAAGTCCCTGAGGCGTCCAGCACGGGTAGCTCCGCTATGGCGGCGGCCAGGGGCTGCCCGCACTCCAGGCCAGTCAAGAGAGGCTCTGGATCTGTCCAACCTCTGACCTGTCGTGTCACTGGGATCAGAGTGGCCATCGTCCCTGCTTCCAGGACCTGGGTTGGTGCCTGACAAGCAGGGCCACGCCGCATCCAACTTAAACAGTTTCAGGGTGTGTGCATAGGGCGGAGTCTGAAGAGCATACTGGGCGGAGTTGGGTTCTGGCCTCTAGGAAAGTTAGGAGAACTAGGGAACTGGTCTGGGTCTTTGAATGAGGCTAAAAGTTCTGTCAAAAGCAAGGGCGCAGGTGGCAGTGAGAAGGACATTTCTTTGGGCCTGAAAATGCTGATTTAGTGGTAGGATTCTTCTCATCCATATGTGAGCTGGGTTAGATTCTCTACAAATACCACCCTAAGACCGCCACAGTCTATCAGTGAAAGCTTATTGTTATGACATTAAACAGGTTTCATTAGAGGTTTCTGGCTCAAACAGAGCAGGAAAAAAAATCTGGCCATCTACTTCTGAAAACCAGCTAGTGGAAAAGCGTTTAGAGAGATTACAGTGATAGGATTCACTACTGATGATGGATAGAACAGTTTGGTTTCTCATGGGCTCACCATGAGTAGAGAAACTGGATGACAGCAACAAGGCATGCCTGCAAAGCTCTATGGAGACACTGAGAACAGAAAGCTTGGGAATATCTGTATTAGATAGGAAACTCCTTGACTTCTGCAACATTGTTATATTCTCAAAGCCTGACATATAGTAGGCCAAATGAAGTGTATTATTTGACTGGTGAATGCCCGGAATGAGGTGAGGAATTACTATTTGGTAATATGGTATTTATAATAATATGGTATACTGTTTTTTACCAGTGGTTGCATACTAAAGATATTCTGCCGTAGAACATATTACTTCTCCCTGGTTAAAACAGGTAGGGCAAAGCCTAAAAGACATAACTGGCAAGGTAGTCAGTGTATAGAAACCAATCAACTTAATATCCAACCAATTCTACTTTTTTTTAAATGCTGATATTTCCTCGACTTAGTTACTAACCACTGACTCCAATCACTGTTGCTCACAGAGACATATTGGTCTCCCAAAAGCTGGTAAAACTCTCTAGTTGAAGCTTGGAGCAACCAAGAGCTGGTTTCTATTTCTTATCTGTTCCTCCCTGAATCTGGAAAGAACACGGCTGTTTCTAGTGACACAGTCCTCAAGTTCACCAGCAATAGCATAGGTTCTTATGAAGCCTCAGTCTGGGCTCCTGGATAGACCCAGTGTACAGTTTGATAACCTTGGGTTTCTGCCTTCTGCTTATTTGATTCACCACATGCTTTTTTAAAAAGAACTTGTTAACAACTAAGGTTAAATAATTATTTGCTTTCTGTTTCTTTCCTTAATTGTTTTCCTTAAAACATGACAACACTCTGGAACAAGGTGTGCATTGTGGGATGGACTGGGGGAGGGGGACAGAAAGGGGAAGAAAATATTCAACAATAAATAAAAAATATAAATATATTAACACACACACAAATTTGTTGACTTTCAGGGAATTCTAACTCTTGTTGACCCATGTGTGTCAGAGTAGAACTACTGTGTTCTAACTCATCTTGAAACCATGTGCCAGAGTAGAATTACTGTGTTCTGTAGGATTTCAAGAGTTAATTTTCCATAAACTGGTCACCAAACCTTTCTCTGAAGCACCTTTGCATGGATTCACTCTCTAGGCTTTCTGTTCAGTCAAGTTTCAGCAGTCAAATTTGTTAGCCATTCGTACCATTCAGGAATTCCTAAGCAGAATAAAAGCTCCCTGAAAACTATTCTCTCCAGAAACTAATAGAGAGTTTGGTACACAGAAAACCCCGAAATCATTCTGAATGAATGAACTTTTTGCTTATCCTTATTTTCTTTCTCTCTTATTTCTTCTATCTATTCATCTTGCTCCTCTTCATTTTCCATTTTTCTTATCCTCTACTATGTTGCTGGTATGCCAGTATACCACAGGCCTGTCTGAATCCTGTGCTTGTATCTTGGCCTGAAAATAGTGCAGTAATACTGCAGTACTGGTTTATACATCTGTGCTGTGATTGTTAATGAGGCTTAATGAGTCTGAAACAGAGTGTAGCTCCAGAAGAGATTGATTTACCAGTTACTTGGACTAAAAGCACAAATTAAGACAGAATATTCCTTAACAACCTTTTAATTTTTTTTTTATTTTTTTTCAACCTTTTGGAGAGTCTTGCTCAGAGATCAGGAGTTTACTTTTGCTTTCATTGTTTAGGTACTCCTGGGAGAGAGAAAGTGCAGTAAAAGCTTATTGCTAAAAGTCAGTGTTTGGATTTTATAGGTATCAATGAATCTTCAAACTTTTTGTTAGAAGTCAAAGTCCACAGTTCTCTGATGGTTCAAATCCACCAATGGCTACACAAGAGAATGATGAGCAATCTCTTCTCATGTAATTTACAGCCTCTCAAAATCCACCAAAATACACCACTCAAAATACATCAATGTTCATAGCAGTGTTAGTCACCATCACAAGAACCTGGAAACAGCCCGAATGTCCAATCAAATGGATTAAGAAACATACACACAAATGGAATACTATGCAGCACTCAGGAGCAACCATTTTTTAAAAATTCTGCATGACTTGAGAGAGAATGAAGAGAGTTATACTGATAACTCAGTCTCATAAGGACAAATATTGCTTAAGACCATTATTGTAAAAACAGAAGAATAATTAGTAAAAAATTCATGGGACCCAAGGGGCAATGAGTGAGAACAGAGGGGTTAGGGTTGGCAGAGAAGAAGTCACAGGTGCACAATTTGATGAGAGGAAGGAGATGGGAAAGGAGATGGGAAAGATCCAGCGGGGACCTGAAAAGATGGGGTAATGGTAGGCATAATTCAGTGAGGATTAATTTTATAAAACACAGTGCATGGAAATGATTGTATTAAACATAATGTGAATGAAGTAAAATGTGAAATACTATGCTACAAAATTTATATGAAAACCATATAAAATTTAATAAATAAATAAATAAATAACCAATGAGATGAGTAGTATTAATGGCTAATGTTGAAGAAGATGCTTTTGAATTATGTTGGTGTCAAAGGATATAGAAAATAACATGATCTACAAAAAACAAACAAATCTATCTTGGAAGAAGGGCTCTTTAGAGACAAAGGTGGTGAGACTTCATCTCATATATTTTGGGGATATTGAAAAGAAATATACTTCAAAAAGCAGATGTTCAGGGAAGGAGAGGAAGACTTTCAAGGATATGGATTGGCCTAATGACTGCAAAAATGGTTTCAAACATAGTAGAAATTGTGAAGATGGCATAGGACTGAGAAAAGCTTCATTTTGTTGTCCTCTCTCTGGTGGCTGTGAGTCTGAGCCAACTTGATGGCACCAAAGAACAACATTAATGTGAATACTTGTGATGTTTCTAACAACAATAAGAAATGAATACAGGCTGAATGGCATGGTTTCTTTTATTTTCCTTTGAGTAGCTCTGTCCTAGATTATCACAGAGAATTTAATTATGTTTTACATCCATTGTCGTTGATTCACTTCCAACTCAGTACCCTTACTTGGTTGCTTGACCCATCATTCTCCCATGGAACAGTTGGTGGATTCTAATTGCTGACCTTTTGGTTGACAGCTGGATGCATCATGCCTAATAAACTGGAGTTTAATAATTTTTTTGATGTTGCATTTCCCCTGTTTAACCCACTGTGTGGTTCCTATCTCCTTCCTGAACCCAGGCTAGTGTTAGATGCGGGATAGCCACCCTTGTCTTATAGTGTCTACCACTTACTTTTAGCAGTCAAGTTGGAAGTGACCCATAACTGAGCCTCCAACTGGTTTTCTGTGGCTGTAAAACATACAAACCCTCCTTTTCTACAGATATTACTCATCATTCTCTTGCAGAACAGCTGGAAGGTCCAAACTGTCTGTCTTTGCATTGGCAGTGCAACTCCTTACCATTCAGCCATCCAAGCTCCCTTACATCACGTCTGTTGGTGGTCTAAGTGCCATCAAGTAAGTGGACTACACTCATCAACAGACCTGAACCCTACCATATTCTCATCATCTTTGACACACTTGATCCCATTGCTACCATCACTGTGTCAATCTATCTCAATGAGGTTCTTTCTCTCTTTCACTTCACCCCAACCTTTCTAAACATGATGTCCCTTGCCAAGTAATATCCTCTCCTAGCAACGTCCCAAAGTATGAGACATAAAGCCTAGCCATTCCTGCCACTAAGGAGCACTCTGACTGTGCTTTTTCCAAGGCATATTTAGGTGTTTGTTCTTTTGGCAGTCCATCGATATTCTTCTGCAACACCACAAATCAAAGGCATCAATAATTCTTTTGTAATCCTTATTAAATGATCCAGGAAGTATTAAAAGATGGAAGGAATATACGGAGTCATTATATAGAAAGGAATTGGCAGATACAGAGGAATTTAAAGAAATAACATATGAGCAAGAGC